ATTGGTAAAGATTCAAAATTTACATGAGCTAATTATTATCACCCTTCATTTACCCATTTACCACTTCTTTGTGTTATGCATTTGTAATTTTTTTTAAAAAAATGTAATTTTACTTGTAGATTCTTTCTTATTATCATGGGAAATTTGATGAATAATAAAATCCCCTAATCTTTTTTGTTTCTTTTGAATATATGTTAACGAATTTTTAAATAATCGATTGTTTATAAAGATAAACAGTGAGGTATTCTATCATACATACTGATAAATTTTGTCTACTCATAATATTCACTAATATAATTAACACTTTGGTTAAGCAGACTTCTATTGCTACTAGATATTAATAAAACCAAAGTAATATGAAGTAAATTATCTTAGCAATCGAAAAAAGAAAAAAAAAAGATGAAAAAAGTGGAAGCTATAAATGAAAAATAATAATTGAGAACTAAGATGGATTAGGTTTTACAAGTGGGCTAATATTATCATTATTTTCTCTGTAATAAACCATTTTATAACTAATAATACTAGCTTTTCACTAATAATTTTCCCTTTCCACTTAGATATACATATTTAAAGAATGTATAATGACATTAGAGAATAAATAATTTATACATATTCTAACATATATATATATATATAATATATATATAAATTTCTAATTCAGTCACCGATTTTGAATCAGACCCACTTTCATAATAAACAGTTTACACGCCATTAATTCAATTTAACCATTGAGAAGTATCGTATCGAGCATTTTATATTAAGCTAATTGTTGTAGGTCTACTTAAGTCGATAAAAATTTATAAAGTTATTACTACGAATAATTTTCCCCAAAATATATTACTTATTATTTTGTCATGTAGAAGAATTTTCAGACCTTATTATAAATTTATAATATTAAGCAAAATCATGTAAGGTTTTGTTGTACTTGCCACACTAAGGAGACTTTCAACAACAACAATTATATTCTCACAACAAATCCACCTTTTTTAAAAAAACTATATAAACTATCAATCTTATGTTCATTTTCATACTCAAATCAAGAAGAAGAAAAAACATCTCAATCAAAAATCCCAAAAGAAAAATGTTTATCAAATTTGCAATTTTATTTGTATTTGTACCATTTGTAGTTGCAATTGATCATGTAAGTACAAGTACACCACAAGAACCGGTTCTTGAATTGTACATGCACGATATCTTGGGAGGAAATAATCCAACAGCTCGACCAATAACGGGTTTATTAGGCAATATTTATAGTGGACAAATACCATTTGCTACACCACTTGGTTTTGAACCTCCAGAAGATGGTGTTGCAATTCCAAATGCTAATGGTGCAATGCCAACATTCAATATCAATGGTGTTCCATTAGGAACAGGTCTAGCAGGCACAATATTTGCTGGAGGAAATAATAATAATAATGGACAAAATGTGAATACTCAATTAGGCCCTGATGGTCTAGGGCTAGGGTTCGGGACAATCACGGTTATCGATGACTTCTTGACCTCGTCTCCTGAATTAGGTACTGTAGACACGTAATTCTTGACCCTCCTCTTCTTTCTTACTTTACTAGTTTCAAGTTTAAATATTTCTTCTATGTGTCACTTTAATACCTAAGTTTGGATTTCATTTTGAGGATATCAAAAAGTGCATAAATGTGTCTTTTAACTTGACCTCATTTCACATATATATCCTCCAACTTTAGGAGTACATCAATAGGTACTTAAACTTGCATAAAGCTGATCCAGTATACACATGAGTCCTACGTGGCATAATATACACCACGTAGGATGCAAATTGTCATGTAGGATGTCACATAAGACACGTCTCTCTATTTATTCATACCTAAAGTTGGAGAGCATAACTGTGAGTTGAGGGGCATGTTGATGTATTGTGCCTATCGAAAAGTGCAAAAAATAGTACATAAACAGAAACTCAAACTTGGCCTGACCTGGCAAGTAAACACGTCAACTTTGAGTATGCACGTCGAGATACCTCATCTCTGAGTCTTTATATCTCGACTCCTCTTAGTGAAAACAAATCCTAGCTCCGCGCCTACGCTACGTATTGAATGAACTTTTTACATTTTTTTAACAGGTACACAAAAACTTGGAAAAGCACAAGGAGTATATGTAGCAAGTTCAGCAGACGGAAGTACTCAAATGATGGCATTTACAGCTATGTTTGAAGGAGGTGAATATGGTGATAGTCTAAATTTCTTTGGAGTTTTTAGAATTGGAAGTACAATGTCAAGAATTTCAGTAACAGGAGGAACTGGTAAATTTAAAAACGCGCGTGGATTCGCGGAAATACGTTCACTTATACCAGCTGGTCAACATGTTGCTAATGGTGCTGAGACATTGTTGAGGATTGTTGTTCATCTTACTTACTGAATTTTCATTAATTTGATGTAATTTTGTGTGTGTGTATGTATTCTGTTTTGTTTGATCAATATGAATATTAATTGTCTTGTTTCATTGTGGCAAAGTGAATATATATCTCTATGTATTCCTCTATCCGTAGAGTATAACGAATGTATTGTGGATCAATACAACATTTCCGAGAGGGTAGGATGTATGTAGACATTGCTTTGCTCACATCTTTGTAGTACAGAGAGGTCGTTTCTGATAGACGCTCGACTCAAACGAATATGTTTCAATTACCATGTTTTTAAAACCAGTGCAGATAGCAGAGTTTATGGGAAAACAGAAGCAGAAACACAAAAGTTTTTAAACTTACGGAGACAAAAAAAACACTAGGCGACTCTTCTCAGGTATCTTGTGAAATTAGCCGAGGTGCGTGAAGACTGGTCTGGACACTATGATGACAACAATATAACATATACAATAAACGGAATGTATCCAATGTAAAACAGAAGAAGAATACAGAGCGAATATTTTACCTTACACTATCAAGATAAGGCGAAACAAGGCTCTCAGCATAGACAGTTGCTGCACCAACACCATCATCACCGTTCATTTCACAAATCTCCACGCGTTTATACTCATCATTCCTCGAGTCATACACCATAACACGCGTTCCATCATGCAACAACACTTCACCACTGATGTCTGATATCCATAACGGTGATATACAAGGCCCTACTCCTTTTACATAAGGAAGGGAAACCGATTTCATCCAACACCCTTCCGCGTTATACTCCTTCATTATCCATACATCCAACTTAACTTTATAATAGTCACAAAACAAACAAAGAAAATCCCCTAACTTCCCTAATGACCAATTCATAGTCCCTAGTTCAAAATCACATGAATCTCCTAATAACCTTGAACCATCAAAACCACCAAAACTAGGCAATGCTAAACTCCCAAATTTCTCATTTTCTAAGTTAAGTGAAACTATATCCCAATAAATACAAGATCCATCATTATGTGCCACAGCCCAATGAACACATTTATTCAAGAAAACACCAGAGTCAGAGGAAAACAGTGCATTACTATATTTTTTCATATTTTTCCAAGAATTTGACCTTAAACCATAAATCTTGATATTTGCACCATATACATAATGTACACCATAAACTCCAAAAACCTCAACAACTTTGAAATCATGATTAGACTCATCATAACCAAAACCATAAGTAACATCACATCTTGGATACTTAGTACAACTAGAAAAAGGCAAAATCTTGTTTTTTCTAGTAGATGGATTCCACAAATACAAGTTATTATTGTACATGCCAATACAAATCAAGAACAAGCCATTACATAAAGAAACTCCAGCTATAATATTAGATGGATTCCAAGGGAAATTGAGTTTGTTGACACAGAGATTGGATTTTTCATGTAATGTAGAGTAAAGGGTGCAAGAATATAGAGTATGAGGGAGGTACATAGAGAGTAAAAGGAGATTTTTGTGTGATAATTTGTTGTTTCTTGACGATATGTTTAAATGGGATTTCGAAAAATGAGTGGACGAGATTAACGAAAGCCATGATTTCGAAACTGACTTGAATTTCAAGAGTGATTTGACTGGTAATCTTGAAAGTATTTCTATGATGATTTCTAGTGGGAAGCTTGGAGTATGTGTTTGATCATTGGGAATGCTGTTTTTCATCTCATTGTTTGTGGACATTATTGGCTTTAGAATTTTTTTGAAGAATGTTATAAAGTTGACTCATAAAATGAAAATACCAAACTTGATAACAAAGTTTTCTTTTTTTGATGCTCCAATTGTCAACTCTTATAATTAATCAATTAATTTTATTCTTTAACATATCCTGTGATTTTGTTGTTATATTCTAGAGTCAACAAACACAAAGTTTATAGTAACTTTTATAATTAAGTCCCCTTTTTGTGTATTTTTGAGTAATGTTTGTGCAACTCAATGAATAGACATTTCATCTATAAAAATCGTGGTAGAGTGGTAATTGTCATCGTTTAAAATAATATTTTATCTGATTCAAGTATTGGTGTGCAATTATTTTTATTAGAGAATATTTTATATTTGATATAGTACTTTTCGGCATATATTTAAATTTCATTGAACTTTAACAAGTGTATAAGACATCAAACAAAAAATAAAAAGAAATAAAAGAAATATTTATAATTTTTTTGACATCAGATTAAACTGTCTACATCACACATCACAACTTTTGAGTGCGATCCTTCCTCGACTCATACTAACTTGAGATATTTGGACTTCAACGAACGCATTAGACATTGAAGAAGAAATAAAAGAAACAAAAGGAATATCAATAGATCTTCGACATTAGATTAGCCCGTCTATATCACATGTTTTGGATACGATCTCTTTCTTGAATCATACTTTAATCGAGACTTCAACAAACGTATTAGATATCAAAGGAGAAATAAAAGAAACAGAAGAGTTATTTATGATTTTTATAGTATTAGATTAATCTTTCTACATCATATCTTTTGAGTACGATTACTTTCTTGAATCATAGTAAACTCGAAATATTTTTTACATCGACTATATTTGGATATTTCTAGAAACTTGTCATGCCGCCCATTCACATCCCAAATTTGAACAAGTCATGAGAATCAAATCATTCATCAAAATCACCAGACAACAGAAGAAGACAGTGTGACTGGGAAAACCAAACTCAACATTCTTACATATAAAATAAAAAACTATTTCAAGAATCTGTTTGTAAATCCCAAGAAAATGCACCACCACCACCACCCTCCTCCACCAACCACCACCCCCACCAAAATCTCAACACCCTTTATCATTCTTGCCACCACTATCTTCTCACTTCTCCTTATTCTTACCTTCTCCTTCACTTCCCCTCCACCCCACCCCCACCCCAACCAACCCCACCCTTCCCTTTTCCCAAATCATCAACCCCATCGTCTCCTATTTCATCAAAACCCAAATGACCAAAATACCCTTCTACCCCCACCCCCTGCAATAGCTTATCTCATATCTGGATCCACAAAAGACACTTCAAGAATCATACGTTTGCTATTTGCAGTGTACCATCCAAGAAATCAGTATCTTCTTCATCTTGATAAAAAAGCTTCTCAATATGAACGTGATGATCTTGCACTGTATGTTCAATCTGTGCCTCTTTTTAAAGCTGCCCAGAATGTGAATTTTATTGGAAAAGCTGATTTTGTTTACCCAATGGGGGCTTCTGCTTTGTCTGCTACTCTTCATGGAGCTTCTATTCTTCTGCGTGTTTCTGCTCATTGGGATTGGTTTATTAATCTATCTGCTGATGATTATCCACTTGTTACTCAAGATGGTATGAATTATGTGTAAAGATGTAATCTTTTTGATGTTTTTACTGGATTTAGTGTGTGTTGATTGCCCATTTGTTTGTCAAAACTCAATATGCATGATGGGTAATGTTGAAGATATGTTCTGTTTAGTGTAAAAATTGGGTCTTTTTTGTTTACAAGTATGTGTAAAGATTTAATCTATTGGTGGTTTTACTGGATTTAGTGTCTGCTGATTAGTCAAAACTCTATATGCATGTTGGGTAATGTTGAAGATATGCTCTGTTCAGTGTGAAAATTGAGTCTTTATTTGAGAAGTATGTACAAAGATTTGATCTTTTTGATGTTTTTACTGGATTTAGTGTGTTTATTGTCCAGTTGCTAGTCAAAAACTCTATATGCATATTGGATAATGTTCAAGATTTGCGTAATTGGGGAGATAAGATTAAGAATAAGGATATCCGGGACAAGGTGGGAAAAGGCTTCTATGGTGGACATGATGCGGGAAGCAAGGTCAAGATGGTTTGGATATGTGAAGAGGAGATGTGCACGTGCTCGATTAAGGAGGCGTGTGAGATTGGATATGGTGGGTATGAGGAGGGCTAGAGGAAGCTAAAGCAGTGTTGGGGAAGAGGTGATTAGATAGGACATGGTGTAACTTTAGCTTACGGAGGGCATGATCTTAGATAGGAGGGTATGGAGGTTGCGGATTAGGTAGAATGTTAGTAGGTTGTTGAGCTTTGACTCACTTCTCGACGGGTTTAGGCTCCGTGGGAGTCTGAGAGAACTGTGTTATTTGTAGTATTAGCCTTGTGCATGTATTTTCTTTTCAGTTAACACATTGTTTCACAAATATTACTATTTCTATTCTCGTAATATTTTGTAATGCTTTCCTTATTAATTGACATGTTTTCTTCACAATCATATTCCCTTTTTTCGGGAATACTTTCGTTTACTGTTTTTGAGTCGGGGTTCTTTTGGAAAAAACCTCTCTACCTCCATGTGGTAGTGGTAAGACTAAAATCGGAGTACACTCTACCCTTCCCAGACACCACTTGTGGGATAATACTAGGTATGTTTGTTGTTTGTTGTTTGTTGTTTTAAACTGTTTGTTATTGGATTTAGTGTGTGCTGATTATCCAGTTATTGGATGTATTAACCGTGCTGTTGAACATGAACAGATATATTTTCCTTTTCCATTACTGTTTATCACTTCGATTCAGGCATTGAAATTCTATCGAATGGATCTAATTATGCCATCGGACTCATTTCTCATTACAACACACTTTCACTTAGGTAATGACTGATGAGTAATCTGATGCTGTTTTCTGTTGATTTTCAGATCTTCTACACATTCTGTCATATCTTCCCAAGGATCTTAATTTTGTCAACCACACAAGCTACATAGGGTGGAGAGAGTATGGCCATATCCTTTTCGTATTATAAGTTTCTATATTTCTGTCTAAGCAAGTAATGTATGGTTTTAGATCTTATTATATGAGCGTTTTGGATGTTCCAGGTCAAGGAAGTTGAAACCAATAGTTGTTGATCCTGGGCTCTATCTTGAAGAAGAAGATGAAGTATTTTATGCAACTCAGAAGAGGGAACTGCCTGATGCTTATCGATTATTTTCAGGTCAGATGCTTGGTAGCCATATTTTTGGCATTATGAATGATGAAAGGATGAATATATTTGTGTTAAGTAATCCCCTTGAGTGTATGATTGAGAAAAATAGTTTTGATATGAAGTGGACAACCATAACATTGAGTCACAACCTTTTTTCGTGCTAAAAAAAATAGAATGAAAAATAAAGTACAGCATAGACATTTTAAAAGCAACTTTGAGTTGAAGTAGCCCAGTGCACAATGCATCCCAAGACTTATAAGGGTCCTCTGAAGAACCGCACACTAAGGGGTGTGATATAGACAGCTACCCTAATGCAAGCATTAATGACTGCTTCCAGGGCTCGAACATGTGACCTATACGACCACACGGAGACAACTTTACCGTTGCTCCAAATCTCCCCTTCTGGTATTCGATGAAGCAGATGACCAGAAAGTTTAAAGTAGTTAAGTGGGCAGAATTTTGTTTCAAGTGTTCTGTTAGAAAGCACAAGCATCTGAGTACGTCTAAATGTCCATCCTTCTCCGAATCTTAATGCAAAAAATGCTACAATAGATGGCCATGACTCTACACATTTTAGCTACATTGTACGCAGAAAATCGATTTCAGTTTAGAATCAAAATCTTTCAGTCTACAAAGCATCGCCCATGTTCCAAGTGTCTACTATTTTATCCTTCACCTTGAAAAGGCCCCAATGTTTTTTTGGAATTTAAAACTTTTTGGATATGCGACAACTAGGGCAAGGGTGTGTAGTAGTAGTAAAGCAACCATCCTATTGTGTTACTGGTTCGGTATGTGTTTAAATTATTGAAGTCTAATACTAACAAGCATGTCCTCTTGGCTACAGGGTCTTCATCTAGTATCTTGAGTCGGAAGTTTATCGAGTTCTGCATCTTGGGCACGGATAACCTACCCAGGACTCTGCTAATGTACTTGTCAAATTCACCATCCTCGTCATCTGTGTATTTCCCGACCATTCTGTGCAATTCAAGGAAATTCAATAGAACAACAATCAACCACAACTTGCGGTATGCTTCATTTAACTCAAGAAAAGAGGCCCTTCCACTCAATACCAGTAACTTCAATGACCTGGTGATGAGTGGAGCAGTGTTTGCTGCACCATTCGAGGCAAACAATCCGATTCTTGACCAGATCGACAGTGAACTTCTCCACCACAAGTACGATGAACCAGTCCCTGGCGGATGGTGTTTAGGTGAAAATGAAACTGATAAATGTACTGTCTGGGGAGACGCAGAAGTTCTAAGACCAGGTCCAGGAGCACAGAGACTGGAAGAAAGATTTGTCCAGATTTTCAGTAATGGTACATTTCGTTCTAGTCGATGTGTCTACGAATAGAGCTCCCTCAAGATGAGAACATACAGAAGAGACAAACACTCGAAAAATGTTTTCTATCGAAAACCACCTCTCTACCTCCCAAGGTAGGGTTGAGGTTTGTGTATACACTACCTTCCCCAGACTCACACACTGGGTATGTTGTTGACTCGAAAAGAATTACACGAGCAAAAATATACAGAAGACCGAGTGCTTCAGCCCTCATGTAGTTTTATGTTAGCAATTTTGATGGAGAGCTCATTGTTGTATATTGATTATTTTTGTTACTGTAAGGTTGTATATTGGTCTGTTGGGCTGGCTAGCTACTACTAGGGCAATGGAAATCATTTTATAAAATCATGGATCTTACTACCTGTTCAACTTTGTGTTTTTCATTCAACTGCAAGAGCTTAAATGGAGCGATATGGTTAGTGAAGACTTGTATAGCCGATCTGAAAACTGGCTTAGCATTAACTCATTAGTTGCTGAGTATATTCTATGAACCACAATGACACAAGAATTCACAAGTGTTGAGTATCCAAGAGATTACCTGTTCAAACAACTCGATCAACTTATTACAACAGAGAGAACAGAAATCTTGATTCTTTCACATATACAAAACTTGTACAACAATCATGGAAAAGCATCAACTGTCAGAAAAATTTTCTGATGGGGGCCATAGTATTACACATACACACAGCTCTCTTGTGTTGCCTAAGAACCACTAATATAGTTTCTTCTACTTCTTCTACAGTAGTACAAGAATGTCATTGTTTTATGCCAAATCATGTTACTGATCCATGGTACCATCAGGAGTTTCTTGCCCTCTACCATTGGCATTTCTCGCGTATCTATCCAGTCTAAATAGGCGTCTTAGAACTTATCGACATTGTCTTCTTTTCTGTAGAGCTTGGTTAAAAGACTCCAAACAAAGTAGCAACAGCAAATATTAAGAATAGAACTCCGCCCAAGTAGCCAACCTGTAGTAGAACCAAGATAAAATGCTTATAATTCAAAATATAATTGTTCAGGGCAGATTCGGGGGAAAAAATAGGCGCTAGCTTACCAGTTTCTCAGAAATGTAATTGGCAAGAAACCCGCCTCCTAGAATTGCAATAGATGTAGCAACCAGGTGTCCGGCAATGGCACCACTTGCCACGCCCCATGGAGACTGCGAAATAGAGGCAGTATGGCAGTGAGGAAATAAATGGAAGTTGGAGGTTTTGGAACTTGTTTTTATGGCAAGCTCGGAAAATATATTGTTAGTATTGAATTTCATAGAAACTGTACCTGAGCTGCACCGAGTGCTATTGTTGCAAGCATTGATCGATCTCCCCATTCCTAGGAGGCAAAAAAAGTATTAAGATTCCTAACTTGAAAACTACAACAGGCCTCGATGTTCTTTAGCAACTGGATATAGTTACATAACACTTTCTAGACTTTGATGTTGTGAATGCAAAACCACAGAAACCAGTTCTAGTCTTCCATGTCACACTCAAACAACTTACATGAACACTATAAAAATGATACAAATAACTATTTTTTGTAATTAAATATATGTTGGCGTCATGGAAGCTTGCACTCTATCTACCATCTACACGACATCTGTCCCTGTTTGCATTGGCTCTTTATTGGAAGAAGAAAGTACAAAAGAAACAATGCTGCAACCGGATGAAGATACTTACAGCAAAAAATACGAGGCTAAAAGACTTCCACAAAATTTCAAGTGGATTTGTGAGCCGTTTTGATGCCTGAAATATCCATCTATAAAATCGTTAGAACCAGATTTTTGAAGATGCAAGTGATGCAAATATGGAGACAGGAAAGAGATAGAAGTCATCCTCATAAATACATGTTCTGGTGTTAAAGACATTAGGAAGCGCAGAAATCTCAGAGAATAAAACAGCATTTATGAGTGGCATTCAGCAGCTTTTTCACCTTTTCCTTCACAAGCTCCTCAGCTTCTGCAAATTCATCAAGTTCCTGACTACTCTTTTCACCAGTCTCAACATCATTGCTTGGAAGTTCCCATGCATCTTTAATTGATTTGAGGCCAAAAAAGAACAAGAGGGCAACAGCCGCGTATTCTCCAATAGGCAAGGCTGTAATGAAAAACAATTGGGAATTTTAAAATAAATATCAAACAAAGCTCAAGATAGTTTGGATACCATTGCAGCATGCATCTTTGATGGTTTGGAAAGAGGGAAACTTTAGATTCTTCGAGGGAAATGCTATCGCGTATGAAGTATAGGTCATTGCAAGCTCTGGATTTTATGTGAAACTCGAGTAGTTCTGGTGGCCAAAAGGGTGTGTTTTCCAGTGTGCATGTGCAAGAAAAGGTACACTAGGAGAAATGAACACTATAAAATACCACTACAGTCTATACTTCGCAGGAAGAGACATTATCAAGCAAGAGTAAGAAGCACTGCATAACCAAACTTGCCAAGAGAATGTTAAGTTCTAATATCCAATGATCGGCATACTTGATGAGCCAGTCATAATGTACCAAAAAAAATTTATCAGTAAGCTTTCTGCCAACTAATGCGCATATTAATCATTTACTTTCTGAAAACATGAACACAATTTAGGGTAAGTTTGCTTCAACAAAAGCAAATGCTAAGCAAAATGTGCCAAATATAAAGATCCCAAGAAGCCAATAAAAAAACCAAGAATAAAAACAAATGACAGTCCTCGGGTCGAACTTACTTGTTTGAAACTGAGCAGGTACTGAATGAAAGATCCTTCCTATTATGACAGAGAAGACCGTCATAAGTGAAAGAGCACCCATTGATCCCAAAAGGACCTGGTCATTGATGCAATTCAAGTAAGATATAGAATTGAACAGAACAGAAGTGACCACAATATTACATTTCTGTATAGCAGTAGCAAGAAACACTAAAAACCAAAGTGCATTTACAATATATCAATATTCAATCTACAAACTTGTGTGTGCATTCTATATTAAGCCCCATTTTTGTATTTCAATGAGTTTTTATATTTCATTTGCTTTCACATAATTAGGCAAGATTATAACTCCTAAATAATAATTATATAATGAAAAATGGATTGCGTCCTTTTCAGTTTGATCAATAATTCTACAAACAAATCCTGCAATCACCAAATGATCGTAATCTAGGATCCCCATCCTCAAAATTTCAGGCAGTACTGATAGCCTATAAAGAAAGAATGCTACAAGATACAAAAAAGAAAAAAGTTTAAGGTATGAAACCTTCAAGCAGAATGCTTTAAAGATATACCTAAGTTCAGTCACAATTATTCACTTTTATTCTCTTAAAACTTAAGATAATTTGATGCAAAAGAGATAGAAAAGGAGAAGTAAGGGACAGAACGCTAAAGGTCATACCAGTATTCTCTTATATTGCATGGCCAGGAGGGCAGCGATGAAAAATGTCTGTTGAATTGCATATTAAAGAAAGAATTAGTTAGATATTTTGAATAAGACGAATTATCGCAAACTAGCATAGCACAAAAGCAGATCCCAGATTAAATAACTCAATCAATTAGCTGGGAATACATTCGTATCAGTAGAATGATGTACAGTGTCATAAGGCTCATTCTGAAAGCATCAAAGTTTTTCAATAAAAGACACCAAATAGTGAATTTTTTGCAAATTGATGCATAAATGCTTAGCCATGATTATGTGTTACACCACTTTTACACCTACAAGGTATTTATGTAACAGCCAGAGATGAGACCACGAGCACTATCCGTATCAAAGAGAATGAAAAGGTTAAGAACCAAAGAAATGAAAGGGCAACAAACAGTCATGAGTTCACGAAAGCTAATAAGTATAGCATATTGTGTCAATCTCTCCATTTACCTTGTCTCCAATCTCAGAAACAAATATCAATGAGAATGCAGCAGTGAACCCTGATTTCGAAAATGCTGCAATGAGTGATGACGGTCCTCCTTTCGTGAAGGCAATCACCGAAAATACTAACGAACATCCACATAGCACAAGAGCTATAGCGAGAGGATAAGGAATTTTACTTGGAAGTGCCTCACTGCCATTCATGAAAGTTAAACATACATAAGTTTCATAGTTAGTTGCAATCAAACTAAAACATGTTTCCCCATATTAAAATGCATGAAGATTCCTAGAAAGTCAGAAGAGTTCATGTTTGATATATCAAAGATTAGGATTATATAACTTAATAAATGTGTAACGAAATATGATTGCAGCCTGAACCTCTTCCTTTCATTCTTGAAGGAAAGAAAATGTAATCAAAGCCATCTGTAATTGTGACTGCACTGACAGTTGAAGTCATTATAGATACTCTTTTCTATTTGTGTTTTTCTAAAAAGAATTCTTGAAGTTTTATTATGTAAGCAGAACTCCCGAAACATAGGCCACATGCCGAAAGAAGAGGTGTCTGTTGGACATTGACAGATGCTTTTGATCAAGCTGCATTAAGGTGATATACTTGTCATATTGAGAATTTAAATGTGAAAATTTTTGCATTGGAAGAATCAGGGAACACTACTTCTTTGTTTCTTGACACCAAATTACCAGCACTACAAGACAATTTCTTAAGTATAATGTATATTGTTCACATCATATTAATCCATCCCCAACAAACTTTCATAAGCCATTAAACTTTATCATCCAATCATCCTTGTGATGTGAGGTTTAACAGGATCAAGTACTTAAACATGCACTCTTGATAAATCCAGCCATTGGCTGGATAATAGTTATCCCACAAACCAAATGCACTCTAACTCTAGGGACCCTTTACAAAGATTTAACAGCCTATCTTCCTCTCCCCATATACTTGTTAACAACATGCTCTTTATGCAGAAAAGAAGTTTAAAGTATTCACCAAACCTTTCACAATTTTGTATTTGGATAGAAATTCTCGTTATTTAATTGCCAAGTTATATAGCATACATTTTCGATGAACCATCAGTAGACGGCTGATTGACTGAAACATTGTGGCTTTCATTTCCTTGACTTTCTTCAAAACTTCCAGATCCGACACCAACATTAGATGCATAGGGTATAATTCTGCTATGCCTTCGCTGCAACTTAGGGAGCGCTCTACATCTTACTAAAAGTAATAAAGGCATGAGTCAGTAACGAAATAGAGCAACAAGATGTAGTAGTCAGAAGGAAAGAAATATAAGAATCTAATTCTACTAGGAATATTAAAAAGTGGCGGATCAAAAATCCAGAAATGATCTTGGTGGGGAGTAAGAAAGTCATCTGACAGGAAAGTGGCATCTCGCATCTAATATAAAGTGAATTTATTTACCATCTTAAGGACTTTCATTCTATAAACTAAATTACTTGCAGGATTGAAGTAATATAGAGTTCAAAAGCCCTCATATATGTATTAAGTAGCAATTGTCATGTATCGTAA